TATTGACTTACGACAATTGGAACTATATTTGGTTTATAATGACGGGCATTTTTTGGTAGCCAATCAAGTGTTATCTTCACTTTCAATTAAATGTCAATGTGTTCCCCGTAACCTATAAAGATCAGGCCCACATGACAAAACATTACCTAATGGAAAACCAGTGTACATCTGCAGGCAAGCAAAGCTAATGTTTGAATAATGACATTTTAACAAATCAATCAACCACTACTATAAGAACTGATTAAAATCAAGTTTGGCCAATGTTAGACGTTGTCTCAATGATGCTTCGTCTATTGACTAGAGTTGATAGAACATGGGTCCAGTAACTCAATTGAAGTTGGTTGATTGTCCTCCCAATCATCAGATATAATTGAAGCCATGTAGACAGTATATTAACCACTGGTGCTGTGTCAACATTGCTACTCTGGGGATCATAAACCTCAGATAATTCCCAATCGCTGTCCATCTTCAAGGGTTCATTTCAGTTCTGCCCGTTTAAATTGTCCATTCAATTCCTTAATTTTTGCAGTTCCTTAGATTTATCATCAGTGATGTACTCTATAGTTCTGTTGGTACGATCCCGTGGCCAATGACCTGAAAATAACAGAACATCAAAAAGCCAATAATAAAGTCGCGGTGGGCTTTGTTCTTGGTAACAGAACAAAATATTGATCAAAAGACAATGAAAGCAGATGGTGACTGAAACTAACTCCAAAATAACAGTGGCCACAATGTCAAGCTAATGGTCAATATTGACTGACCAAGAGAAAGTATTGACCAGTATATAATCCATTTTGAGAGAGAGAGGGGGGTGGGTAGAGATTGGTTTAACGTCTACTTGACACAGACTAGGTTATTTCGTGACTAATATATGGCACAATTTATATTAATCCGCTTGTGCGACTGGTTCTTCAGCAGTATACGTAGGGAGAAACCGTAGCACCCAGAGAAAACCCACAGTTGAGCAAGAGTCCCTACTCCTCTTCAAGTACAATCTTGCTATCGAAACCACAGTACCTACCTCAATGACAGATCTTGTGATTTAAAGCGCACACGTTAGACCACTCGACTACCAACTCCTTCACCCAATCCATTTTCACCTCTGACCACGTCGAAGTCGAAATAGATGGAAACGTACTTTGATGATAGATAATAAGCCCCATAATAAGCGGCTTTTTGTGGATGAACTGTATCTTGATTTCTGTATGCTAAACATTGTGTAGCTAATTACACTTTTTTTAGTGATATATTCAGAATCTGCTGTTAACAACAATACTTAGTAATTTTACACGTTATCATGTCAAAAAAAACATACGTGCATCGAGCTCGGTATGACACAGTGCCAATATCAATTGAGCCAAACATATGTAAATTACGCATAACTTTTGCTCAGATCTTTCGCATTAAATCCTCCCGAAGACGAACATACACCAAATACATTTTTCCTACCCACAGCAGATTTGAAATTCGAGGTATATTCTTCTAGGCATAATCTAGATCGTCTTGTGTGTTGCGTTAAAATGTATAGATTATGGAAACGGAACCCCACCCCGCATGAAGTATCTGGAGAAATATGTTATTGATCTCGGTAGTATGGATTCTCTGTAATCCATGGTGGTGTAGTTAGGACTATGCCCACCAAGGGAATATATCTTTAATTGCCCTTGTCCTTTTTAACAATATGAGTGATATCCACGGTAAGTGATATTGTATTTTAGAAGTAGTTTTTCTACTGGAGCATGCATTTCTTCTTTTGAAATACTACAACGAATTACATGATCTAACTATTAAATTAATCCTACAAAAAACTGACCTGTGCCATTTTTGCAAGCTATATGGTAGCCTTGACATTGCATCCGAACAACTGAAATGTTGGTTCCACTTTATAATCAGTTACACAAACTACCCATCATGGGGATGTAGAAGGAAGGTGTAAGGATCACAATCCTGCTTCTTATATCGTTTTCGTGTTCAAGAAGCATGATGTCCTGCCTCGGTCCACTCAAACCACGAACACTTTTAAAAATGCTTGAAACATATTTCGAGACAGCTTACACTGTGTTTATCGTTGATATAAATAAATCTGATTTTTAATGTTTGCCCAAGCTTGCCAATGCCATTTTTGGAAGGTCTATTAGCGCAAAGATGCAAATATACAACGGAACTATTCTCGAAAAATGTAATTTTAAACTGATTAGTTTAAGACAGGTGGGTGGGTGGGTGGGGGGAAATGGACTGCTATTTAAACGGGGTCAATTTGTGACCTCCGTGAGAACGATTGTTGAATTGTATGTCAAAGGCGAGACCATTCGATTTACAATAACGCCCACTGGACCAAGGAACATTATAACAAACCTGGAATAATGAATGGACAACTGGAGAGATTCTAATTATACGAAAGGAGAAACCATTTGATTTACCCACGAAGTGGATCTTATTGATATCGACACATAATTTAAAAGAAAGCCACACTAAGAGAGGTAATACGCCCACACAGCTGCTATGTCCCAAAATTCTAAATATCAGAATATGGTGTCACAGTTTCACCAAAATTGAAAACAATCAGTTAAAAATTGTAGTCCTATCGGCATCGCCGTTCACAAGGTTTTCGGAAAGGGGTAACTTCGGAACTGTAGGTCGTGGAACACTAAATATTATCTCACGTACACTATGGAGCCCAAAAGTTCTCAAAAAGAGGGCATAACATTGGAACGGAAGGTCGCGTAATGCTTAATATCGATGGGGTTTGTTATCGTATGGCAGCAATGCTTCATACCCAATTTGAAAGAAACCTGTTAAAAACTGTAGTCACAGGTTTTCGGAAATGGGGGGGGGGGGCATAATTCTGGAACACTGAATATATATGTGCTGTTCACCATCTTAAGAAAATGCTTTACTCATTCACAGGATATTTTAGCAAAGGGGCGTATCTCTAGAACACTGAATGCTGAATATAATATGTGTTGTTCACCATCTTAAGAAAATGCTTTACACGTTCACAGGATATTTTTTTAGCAAGGGGGCGTAACTCTGGAACGGAAGGTTGTCGAAAGAAACATATCGTAAAGGATCGTCCACTAAAACAATACCCTCTATCACTTACAGAAGGTTTTCGGTAAAGGGCCATAACTCTTGAAGTTGAAAGGAAGATCGCGGAGCAGTTGGCCTCCTTACGATCTGAACTCCTCCCACCAAATTACAGATTATATTACGTTCACAAGCCAATTGTTGACGAATCGTTCCGAAGGATAGGGTGATGACACAATACGTCTACACTAAATATCTAAAAAGATATTGTTTGATTAATTGAATATTAATTTATAACGACCAACTACAGATTACAACCACTCGACTCTGTGGTTGAACCGAGAGTTTTACAATTATCCAATATCCGAAATTGCCAAAGGTACGCTTTAAGGACGTGTTTGAATATCAACAATAAGGTTATTTTGAGACTAACATATGATACTATCTTAATATGTTACAAACTCTGGGTGTTACGGTGGCTAAGTGGGTAAGACGCTGGCTCACTAGCCTGGGGGTCGGCTGTTCGATCTCTGCCTTGGCCGAGAAAGTTCATCCAGATTTTCCGGCATGGTTCCCCCTTGTCAGTGATGCAGGATGGAGGGCCTGACAAGGACAACTGTCTAGCCGTTGGGATGGGACGAAAAACCGAGGTCCCGTTGGCGTGCACGAAAAAAAAATCCCTTGGCAGTTGTATGTCGATATAAGAGTAGGCCGTAGCGCTGCTGTCCGGACAAAATTTCCCTCATAGCACACTATGTGGCGTGTGCCCGTCTTCATTATCCCAGTTCGGAGCAGAATACTAGGACGTTAAACCCCATTTCATTTCATGTTACAAACTGTTGAGTTGACGTCAATATACAAAGGATTATTACAGAATATTTGTGACTGATTAGTCAACAGTGGCGTAGACGTTTGCCCAATAATTTATCGCAATAATTCATGAGATCGAATCAATTCCATACTGCATACTATTTATAGAACTATTTTTTTTTGTAGTTGTGTATGGCCCGTGGAGCGGGGGTTATAGTTTATCGGTGGCTTCGGTTTTTGAAATCTAAACTATTGCTCAAAATATAGAACATCTGACCCCACTTCTCTTGAACTTCGGCAAGTTCACACAGTTAAAGGTATGTTAGTGAGGAGCCATTTCAGAATATTTTCAAAGTTCTACATCATACCTGAAACAGTGTGAGTGGAAGGCAGGTTCTGGTATCTAGCACTGATTCTAAATTAGAATTTGGATGTTAGGAATGATAGACTACGGTGATTTATTATCAAAAACAAACATTTGTTTTGTATGGGAAGTAAGTGTCACAGTTGATTTCAAATTAGAAACTTGGCGAAACCCAAGCATTTACTTTGAAAAAAAATATAGTACACTCGACCTCAAATAACATTCCGTAAATACAAAATGACAAATTTGTGTAATTGTAAGTGGCCTTTGCCACTGGAACAAATTTAATTTCCTTCACCGCATACCAAAGAAATAAGGACGCCAAATTAAAAGTCAGTTGGGCATTACATTTCAAAGAGCTTCAATGGCCTGTTTGACATTGTTCCCAAGATTAACTTTTCGAAAGAGCATGTAAATTTTATTTTTTGTAGAAGTCAGTCCAGCGTTGCAATCTGATTCGACAAAAAATCACATACAGCTTTAAATGATTCTCGCTTTCATCAGTTAATGTAAGATTTCATTTAAAGGTAAGTGAACTTAATCCAGATTGCATCGGAACCAGATTAGAGGCCTCTGCCCATAAATCTGTCGATTGATTTACTTTAAACTAGTGATGATGCCGATTACGAGTCTATGGTTCCATCATTCCCCTCAACGATCAATATCAATTTTATCCAGCCCAGCTTTTGTACGCTGTATATATGTGGGCAAGTTGACGATAGAAACTTCACAACAATGTTAGTATTGGCTTTCAATGTTCTATCACGTGCGTTCGTTCCTAGAGCATCAACGACACTCGAGTTATTTTAAGTGACAGGAAAATAAGGTTTAAGTCCATGAAATGAAATGAGTTTTCTAGTTTAATGTGGATATTATTCTCTGGCAATAAAACCGGAGTTATCGTAGATTGTGTCACGTGGAGAATCAAATAGAATTGCCAACTCGCAGTCAACTAGGGGTAAGTTTGATTGTTACCTTCCACAGAAATAATTGCTTTGAATGTTCATAATTGCTCTGAATGCTTATCTATTAGCTTTAGATCCTAGTTACGTAACTAATTCTAGTTTTGCGACCATACACGTACTTATTATAAGCTGCGGCGGGCTGAGATCTGATTATCACGCAATTATTACTTATTACATTGATGTTCATGATAAATTCGATCGCGAAGTCCGGTACAGGTATTGTCAAGGTTTTTTACACATATATTTTATCAAGCATTGTTTATAGTCATAACATACAGCACGAGCATAAGCCAATATCCCAGAGGAGAAATTCCCACAGACAGTATTTATTAAGTCGTTCATTGTTTATATTGAACAATCAAACATAATTTCAGAGCGTATTTACAGATCGGATGACAGGATAGTTATTATGTCATTTACATGGTGATGGAATAATGCGCTTCTAGATTACATAAAATCCAGAATGAATATGGCTGTATACTACTGGGGTTATTGTATGTGTAATTTACATGCTAATGTTTACACTGGCAACCACAGAGTTCTGAAGTTAATCCATTTAGTGAATTCCATTTAGTAGTTATTACATTAGACAAAGTACTTGGTGTAGTGGTTATGGTAAGATATCCATTCTACCATTAAAATGAAAATTGGAAGGTAGCCTTAAAGTTCAAGGCTAAAATGAGAATTTCAAACTTGACCGGATAGGCATAAATCTTTAGCTTTCATGAGGAATATCGTAAAATAAATTAAATAGTTCTTAGGAATGGTAAAAATTGATTGAATATGCACTCTTGAATAAGAATATGGTCAAAAATAGGAATAGCAAAATTAACCGGAAATGCACAGAGTCTTTTAATATTCACTGGTTTACTCATGATTTTGTAGAAGGCATTTCATAATAGAATAATTATTTCTCTTCCACGTGAAAATTCCAATATTTTGTGATTGTAATAACAACTGTTCACATTTTATATGTGAGTGTGTATCGCCAATACCCCACTGCATGTGTCCACAATTCTTACAAGCAATTTACAGGTTAGGAGTTTTGATCTCATTGATGGTTGATTGTTCATCTAGTCATAATGAAGGACCATACCGAACGTCAGTGTCTTGGTGATTTACCTAAAACTGGACATTCTATTTGTCAGGGGATTGGGACTAAGAAAAAGCTTGCTGGACTTGGCCAGTTAAAAACAAAATGGCGTAAACCAAGACATGCATAGTATCGATAGCTACATCTGGATTTTTAAAATAAAGTTATTGCTCCTGTCATTGTTTTCGCACAGATAGCGATTTTTAATTTTCTTAGCGGATTGTGTTTTTTTGGGGTTTTTTTGGTGTGGGTGGGGGGGGGGCGTTTGTCAACGAGTTTTTATATACAAGCCACCACAGACCTACTTCGCTAATTAACTTACTCATATAAAACTCAATTGTATATTATGGCATTTCGTGCGAGTCGTCATCGGTATACTGCAGAACTCACTTCCTGATGGTTTTACATAAATGGTACGAATGCCTGTATTTTCAGCCACGGAAATACAGAATAATATAATGAACCATTTTTACTTTCTTAAACTGATTTTAACCCTTCCCGGTAATATACCGCTAATTTTGTCACTTAAAAGAATCCGATAAATTACAGAATGCCAGCTCAACATAAGTGGCACTTTCTAAAAGGGCCTTTTTGAAGTTGGTCACAGACTTCTTCATACATCAAGATAAGGATCAAACGACATTTCCGATTTCATTATGTCTAACCTACTTTCCAATTAATTGTTCTTAGAACTTGTGTGTGGGGATGGTCTAGCTTTGGCCTTGCTGGAGTTCATATCCGCATTCATTAGTAAAGCTTAGGCAATTTAACATGTTTGTACTGACCAAAGTCATTTTCATATGCAGCCCCACGGTCTTAGCTAGTAGGTGTAGGTCCTGACAGGAAATGTACGTTGCTAATTATATTATTAAGGATTCAGCCAATTAATACCGAACCTACTGAGCGATCAAAACGAATCAATGTTAGTTCCAGTGGAGTCTGTATACCCTATAAAGACATAGCGTTTCTTATTAGTTCTTGTGAAAAATATATTAGTAAGCGTCGTATCACAAAGATCTATTTGTAAAGGTTAAGCTTATCTTACAGAGAGTTAATTACGATTTATTTATTTTTCGATTTTACAATGTTTCCACGAATTCCACGAAATAGTCTTCAAGATATCTTTTCAGCATTTAATGTTCCGTGCATACAAATATCAGTGTTTAAGAGAAGAAAATAAAACAAATCATATATATTATTAATAGGAGGGATCATGTAACCGGACTTCCCTGTTAACCGTCAAACCTACAAAGGCTATCAAAATAAAGAACATTTGTTTTCTAACCGGGACTGGAAACCAACTCTGTCGGTTAGATTTAATGGTCGATAAATTGCATTACGCAACATCTTCAATACTAAGAAAGCCATTTTAAAGATTTAGAAGCTCGCCTTGCTTTCAACAACAAAATATCTTCATTGCCTGTCGTTCAATGTGAGACTTTGAAAGGTGGAAGGCGTCTGTTTACGTTCTTTATTGAAACCAAAATGAAATGAGCTCATTAATTTTCGACAATACCTGATGTTTGTTGATATGAAACATGTATGACTCGCACAGGGTTGTATGAACAAACATGTCATGTGTGATAAAACTGTAATTAATCACTCTTCTGACTTGTTAAATTTGTGGTTTATTGAGGCTCACACGTCTCAAGACCCCCGATCAATACGATTCAACAACTGCCATTTCATTTTTTTCTGATTAAAAAGAACTTGCGGAGAATCAGACCACATTCATAGTTCACTACAATAAAATAGAGACGACGTAAGCGGATTTTTTCCCCCTTAATATACCGACGTGACTTTTGTAAGCCGATGCTTTAAAGAATCATACGTCGATGTCTGGACAACCCCCGTCCTAATAATATTGGCGACAACTTAATACTTCTTTATATTTTGATCATGTGAAATATGTTTTCTGTCATCTACTCTTTATATCAAAGATCTGAAATAAAATGGTTTAAACAAACGAATGTTACTAGTTTGTTTTAAGGCTATATACATAATGTACTGAGCGCCATGGAAAACGCATCACTTAGTTTTTCGTATAACAAAATGATCCTGTAAACATATCTTATTTATTTTGCTTCTTATTGTGAACAATATTCAAATGGGAACACATCAATAACAACACATTTGTACACTTATGGATGTTTAATCTGTAATCAACGGTACAAAGTGAGAGGGGTCAAAACCAAAAGTACGACACAGATGTCAGTAGCGCGTGTGTCCTCCACGGGCTCTTACGCACACTGTGCAGCGACGTCGCATGGAATTTACCAATGTTTGAAAGAAGGCCTGGGGCAAATTATTCCATTCTTGGACAAGAGCAGCTTCTAAAGCAGCAATGGTGTGCATCTGTGGTCTCCGATACAGACGGCGTCCAATCTCATTCCAGACATGTTCTATCGGTGCCATGTCCGGAGACATGGTTGGCCAGTCCAAGACATTGATGTTGTTAGCAGCCAGGTAGTCCATACTAAAACGGGCGGTATGCGGACGTGCATTATCCTGTTGGAAGTGCTGAAGTTGTGGGTTCGCTCGAAACATCGGAACAACAATTGGTTGCAAGACATCATCACGGTAGACTACAGCATTAACGCGACCCCCTGCAAATGTGTTGGGCGGTCCGGTGATGGAATGTGAAGCCTCCCCACACCATTACACTTCCCCCACCCCATCGATCCGTTTCGAAGACGCAGCAGTCTGCAAGACGTTCCCCAAGACGTCTCCACACACGTTGACGACCATCAGCGTGATAAAGATGAAAGCGACTCTCATCACTAAAGAGCACACTTTGCCAGTCTACTCTTCTCCATGTCTGGTGTCCTTGAGCCCATATCAAACGCCGCTAACTGTGATGATCCCTGAGGAAAGCTCCAACATAAGGTCGTCTAAGACGACGTCTTACGGTGTTGGCACTTACTGGTCCTTGTCTTCTGACGACTGTTGCACCTGTTCTGGGTGGAATCTGTCACGCAGATGAGTGAACCGGATGTAGCGGTCTTGAGCCTGGGTTGTAACGCGTTGTGGACCAGGACGTTGACGGTCACGTGTTGATCCAGTTACTCAAACACGTTCCACCAACCTTACAATAGTGGACTGATGACAATTGAAGTGTCTGGCAATAGCACGTGTAGACATGTCAGCCCTGGACATTCCCATGACTTCATTCCGTTGATTTTCAGTAAGTCTCGGCATCGCAAGCTCGATTCATTCACACGTCCAACAACAAATTACGACAGACTAACGTTTCACAGTTCATGTACTGCACATTAAGTTGAAAACATGCTTTTAAAGGGCTCACACACAATGCTGCGCGTGAATATTGGTTTATTCATGTGCATCTCGTGTAATTATTTTTTTTGTTCACGGGCCGATAATTTTTTGCGTTTGGGAGCATTGTGTGAAACAATAGTTCATAGTATTGCATAATATTATACATACAAAACCACCTAGTAATAATTTATTTGGGGAAAAAAAGTGATGCGTTTTCCATGGCGCTCAGTATATATCTAGATTTAGTACGGTTAAGCCTTGCTCACAACTCGCCGTATGCGTTTTGAGACGCACGAGTCGAAGGCTTGGCTAGCTCGCAGACCATCTGCACGAAACAGAGTGAAAATTGTCTGTGATCTTCTACGATGCCGAACACACGCATGTGACGCGTAAGTTTCATGCACGGGTTTACTAAAAAAATTTCCCCGTAGACTGCCCGTAGTGGGTTTGAGCTACGATTTAGCGCAGTGGTTCTCAACCTTTTTTTTGCCAACGGCACACATGAAAAAATAGCGGCACACCTGACTAAATACATATAAAAAATATTTGAATTTTTCAAAATCAAAACATGGTCAGACAGCATACAACCGTAGACAGGGACTAGTCGTAGACACAGAGAATGAC